GCATTTCCACCTGTTCATCTCCATCACAGAAGAAGAACTTAGAGCGGCTGTCAGCCATGATTGCTTTTTATGACATTTTCCGAGTTAATGTCACTCGAGTAAATGGAACGGACTCTCTTTCGACATGGAGAACGGATTCAACGAAACTAAACGGGATGCTACAGTTTCACACACGGTTTCATGTTAACAACATGCAACTGAAATTGAAAGTGGACAGTTCACGACAACTCATTCAACAAACTAACATAGACAAACTTAAATCAGATCATGAACGACCTTGTGTCAGAGAAGTTCGGCGTTACATGCCGCATTGCATTGTGGGAAGTGAGAAGTAAAAATCAAAAAAAGTTCAAAACCACTGTGATTTTATTCACAAGAATAGTTTGTTTCAAGTGCTTTAACTTGCCCATCCCTGGTCGGGATGATGACGACTATTACGACTGATTGTTTCATAAAACTGCATTCCGCACAAGAGAGCACTTGTTTGTATGTCAACAAAAGCAACAGAAATGTTCCCGTTGCCAGTTTGGATTATTAACTTGTCAGTACGTTTTATAACAGTAAACAGTACTTCATTGTCGCTATGGGTTCAATGGTGAACCCTCAAGGCTACGTTACAAAAATATTTAGAGAATTAAAAAATGGACCTCTGCGGTTTACTTTGTTCAGACAGTCGAAATTGGCGTTTAATTGTAAAAGTCTTCCTGCCCAGTTGGTTCCTGAGTAACAGCAACACGCCGCAAGAGGACGATGAGACCATGAGCGCCGAACAGCGAGAAGCGACCGCCACCCCCAAATTGGACTCGACCCCGCTTTACAACCGGTGGGCCTCCAGCACCTCCTCCGGGCTCGCCATGCGAAATTTGGAGCAGGACACAGAACGCGAGACGGACATGAATTCCTGCCCCGACCTGAGCGACCGTTCCTTCCCGCTCACGCCGTTTCCGAGCCTGGCGGACGGCAGCTGGCCGCAGCAGCCCGGTTTCTCCGGCGACTGGTCGGGATATCCCAGTAGCCAATTTCCGTCCAGGTCGGACCCCAAAGAACTCTGCAGCTGCTGCGGCCAGAGCTTCCAATCCGGACACAAGTTGAGCCTGGAGCAGCCGTGCTCGCTGCGCTCCGAGCCGCCCAGCCGGCACCTGACGCTGCCGCCGTACATGTGCTCGCCGCCGGGTGCCGCCTGCTGGGCCCAGTGTCCCGCCGACGCCCCCGTCGGGGGGGGCATCAAGCTACCGCGGCATCAGTACCAAGTGGCTTACGCCCCCCAGCACTGTGAGTCTCGACTTGTTGTTGCCGCGCCGATTTTCTTGTGCTGATCTCAGCTTTGGTTGTGTTGTCACAACGCAGGTGATTGCAGACCTCCCTGGGGCCGAGTCACTCCAATGTGAGTTATTTTGCTTTTGAATTCTTTACAAAGAGAGAGAGAGATGAGAGATGTGTGTGTGAGAGAGAGAGAAAGAGAGAGAGAGAGAGAGAGAGAGAGAGAGAGGCAGTACGTAGATATTTTTCAAAAACATTTTTTTTGTTTCAAACATTGATATAAAAAGCAAAAGACACCACACTATAACTAGTACATATAAAATTCAGACTGAGAGATAGTAATGAAGGCAGAATTAGTGTGTGTGTGTGTGTGTGTGTGTGTGTGTGTGTCTGTGTGTGTGTATATATTTTTTTATTCACACACAGAGACACACACACTGTATATAAAAACACAATAGACGTTGTATATTTGATGCCAAAAACAACCAAACCATAACAACTAGCTTCATGCTAACTCCATAGATGCTAATCCTAATAAGCTAATGTAAGCAGCTACACATACAAACGCAGCATACAACAAATGGGAGTTAAGTAGAGTAGATTTTAACACCAAAATGTCCAACCAAGTCATACACATTTCATCTATTGAAAGTCTGCTAGCTTGTTGCTAATATACAATGTAAAACATGAGAGACAGGCTAAAGGAAATTAGCATGTCAAACATTCAAACCACTGCTAAACATACGGAGCAGCAATATATTCTCTCTGCTGTGTGGGAACGACGATGACTGCGGAGCTTACCATCAATACTCACCACCGACTAATCATATGTAGTAACTTGTTCTACTAAATGTTTCATTCGTTTTTAATTTCAATTTTTTTTTTGCTCCAGGGGCCACAGCGTTCCGCCCGGCGAGAAACCGCCGACGCAAAGCATGTCGTTGTCCCTGGCGCAGAGTAAGTGGCCCGCGACTCAGAAAAATCGCGTGACGGGCCATCTTTAACGTTGCTGCGTGTTCAGGGAAAGTGTTCGTCACGTACGAGGCGGACGACGACGCGCACGTCAACGAGATCATCAAGTTCGTGGCCCTGCTGCGACACAACGGCTTCGACACACACGTACGAGATTTACAGAGGCTTCCCTTTCTCCACTTTTGTCACCTTGGGACGTGTACTTTCCTATTTTCTCTTATGCTCTTTTGATGAATGGAACTGTAAACAACGTTGAGGGAATTATGAACAGTTTGAAATAACGGTCATTGTTACCACAGAAACATAACGCTAAGGCACAGCAAAAAAAAAAGTCCACGACAAACTTATTTGTGTCAGTGGTTCTCAAACGTTTTTACATCAAAAACACCTTAATTAAAATATGTATGAAAGAAAGCGTGAACATTAACACTGCACTTAAATATGTGCTGCTTTCAGATTGACATATTCGAGCAGCAGTTCCGCAGCATCAGCAAGATCGACTTCATGGAGCGCTACCTCAGCGAAGTAAAAACTCGCCGCATCCTTTTTTTTATTTTTTGTCAGCTGCGCAAACTGACCGGTGTCATCCGTCCCCTCAGAAAGAGTACCTGATCATTATCATCATCAGCCCAAAGTACCACGAGACGGTCACCACCTCCCACGTCGGCCCTGACAACGACGAGAGGACTTGCAATACCGTCTACATCCACAAACAGGTCCCCAAAACCCGTACCCAATGGGAATTTTTCCCCACACTCTTCCGCATCTTGTTGACGGCGTGGCTTCTTTTCATTCAGCTTCAGAATGAGTTCATCCAGAACGGAAGCAAGAATTTCCGCTTCATTCCCATTTTGTTCCCTGGGGCGAAAAAGGTAAGACTGAACAGTAATTCTTTTAAGATCGGCACACAGACTTGTAGATGTAAATTGAAAATAAAATGGGTCCCGGGATTGAGCCTTGGGGGATCCCTTTGTTAAACATCCAGAACAGAGCAAACAATCTGTGATCCATTGTGTCAAAGGCTTTTTGAACAAATTAATAGAAAGACCAATACAATATTTCCTGCAGTCCACAGTCTCAATAAAATCGGAACAGTTTTACCTGTCAAAGTGGAGAAAGGGGTTTTAAACCCTCCTCCTGTTTGTGTTACCTGCAGCGTCACGTTCCCAACTGGCTGCTGAACACGCACGTGTACGGTTGGCCGCGCGACCGCGACGACATCCTGCGACGGCTGATGAGGGTTGAGAAGTACAACCCGCCGCCCATTGGAGAACTGCCCACCATCGTGTCCATCCCCATCTAGAACCCTTTTCTCAATAATGCTTTGAAACAATCGTTGTCAGGGCCCTTCTAGGTGGCAGGAAGTGAGGGGGGAGGAGGGGGGGGGATGCTAATGCTAAACTCATCATTCAAGCCAGGTAGTCTGTTTTATCAGTGGCTCTGCCTTGGTCAAATGACACACAGGAGTTTGTTTGCAAGTGCAGGTTTTTGCCACCCGCAAGTACGTGTGATGTCACGTCTGCAGAAGATTCTGGTTGGTTTGAGGAGTTACGGGTCGGGGAGGTTCTCCGCAAAGAACGTTCCTTGAATTTACACCAGGAGTGCTGAGAAGATGAAGAGACATTTTGGATGGGATGGATGAGGGGTGACTCACCAAGGCCAAAGGGCTCAACAGTTCATGGAATTTTGCATTGGAATTCATTTTTAAAGACTTTTGTGTCTTTTTTTTTTTTTTTTTTTTTTGTGTGTGTCTGAGAATTTCAGAACTGCCGTATAGAATCTTACCTTTACAATAAAATTTTTTGGCTCTATTTAATACAATACATCCTGATTTATAACGCGCTTTCGCAACAGCTGCAGCTGTAACAAAGCGCCTAACAAAACAGTTAACATTAAGTCAAATAATAAACACAACATAAAACATAACATAAAAACACGGACAGTCGTGCAATCTTAACCACTTTTCCCTCATACAATTTGTTGTTTGTAGCAGTTCTGGATGAAAGAGGAGAGAATCAATTTATAATAATATATAATACATATATTAATAAATCAATTAAAAAAACAATGCAATCGGAAAGACCATAATCAGTTAGATTAAAATAAATCTGAAATATTTAGAATCTCTTTTTTTTTTGAATTGCTGTAAAAGTATGGAGGGAGAAAAGAGAGAGTTCAAAAGAAAAAGGGGAGGGGGGGGCACCCCCCCCCAACTCACACCCTGTGTTTCGCACTTAATTTCAACAAATGCACTTTTCTCTCGAAAAACCGCAACGGCGTGGCGTTGCTGAGCTTGCGGTTTTTCGATGAAGACCATCTGCACTCCTTCCACCCAAATGGGGTCACTCGCCACGCGACTGTTCACACGGCATGCCCAAAAAGTGGTTTAATAATTTTATTTTCACAAAAGAGGTAACACTGCAGATGCTCATACAGACATCATTAGAAAAAAAAAAACAATCTGAATACAGTGTTTCATCTGTATATTGAAAAGTACATGAAATAATATTAATTTTAATAACAAAAAAAACATCTGTAATAAAGCTGGATTACAAAGTGACACTGGATGTAAATACATTGCGTTTAAGATAAGTACAAACACTGAAGTGCTATTTGTTCCAAAGCTACAAAATACACTTAAAAAAAGCAAGAAGCAGGTTTTATTTGATGATTTTTTTTTCTTCCAAATTTCCTTCAAGGAAAAAAGTACTATAAAATAAGTTACAGTACAGTAAGTAGCTTTTGTGTGTGTGTGTGTTTTTTTTTTTTTTTTTTTTAATATTTGTTTCTTTTCAAACTTTTTGTTCCCGTCTGGCAAGCAGAAGACCACTCTTGCAGGAATAAGAGTTTCTTCATGACACACAAACGCTTCATGACTTCGTGTGTGTGTGTGCGCGCGCGTGCGCTCGTGTGTGTGTGGAAAGTAGCACAAATACTTCATGTCATGTGATGCGGGGGCGCGCAGGTCACACGTCGTCAGCCGGCAAAGGAGGTACGTGCATGTTGAACCTTGGTCTGGTGAAAAAAGCCATCTTCTCTCTGCGGACAAATTCAAGTTGAGTCACAACTACTGCTGCGAGAGGACAAACAAACGCAGCCCATTTTTGCTGACTCACCAACAGATAATTTAGGCATTTAAGATGCGCATTTATTTTTTTTTATTACGTGTTAAGTTTTTAGTTAGCATGTTATGTAAACAAAGTGACGGCCATTCAGTAGCGTATATATTACGGAAGCTATTGCTGCCTGAAAAAAAAAAAACATGATGTGACCAATGTCATATTTGGACGTGATTGGTTTCTTCCAAAACATGAAACATATCGCGTTTATACACTAGTATCGATAGTTCTCATAACAAGGTGAAATTCCTCAACAATGTTCTACTACTCCTTCTAGAGGAATAATTCCTTAACAACTATCATTTTTTTTCATCGCATTTTTCAAGTGTTGCATTTAACGTGATAAGTTTCAGATTCCAATGTGCTAAATTTTCACATTTACACGATCGGTTTCACGTTTAATGTGATCATTATTACGTTATAACATGATCAAGTGTTGATTTCACGTGGAAATTTTACGTTGAACTCGGTTACGTTTAACGTTTTGATGCGATGGCCATCGGTTGCGGGGCAGAGAATCCTTGGAGCACCTCCACAAAACAATGACAATGTGTTCCTTTTTCTATATTTTGTCATCAAATTTGAGGGTGAGAGAATAACAGCACAGGCCGAATACGTCACGGGTCAGCCAAAAAGAAAAAAAAAAAAAATGGCGCGAGGAGCACCGACCTGAAGGTGTGAACGGGAAGCGGTTCCTTGTGGCTCTGCCCCCTCATGTGCAGGAGTTCTTTGGACGCCTTCCTGAGCCTCCTCCCAACTTCTTCCTCCTGACGCTGCTCCTGCTCGCTCTGACCCGCCTGCAACCACGGTCGGACGTGATCACGGCAAGTCACGCACGGCAAACGGCCGAAATTGCCCGGGCCGTTTCCCGGGCGACGCGGCTCACCTGTCTGTGGGCCTCCCTCAGCAGACAGCGGAAGCGCTCGTCCCTCAGGGCCCAGTGGGGGAGCTCTCCGTCCTGGCTGGCGGGGCGGCGAGTCGGCGGCGGCTCCTCCAGACGGAGCTTGAGCTCCCTGAGGGTGCTCAGCTCCTCGCTCAGCTGCCTCTGGCGCGTCCTGCAGGCCTGGAGGTCCAGCTCCAGGTCCAGGGAGGTGCGCGTGGGCTGCTCGGCCAGCGAGGAACGGTACGACTGCTGCTTGTAGCGCAGCGTCCGCCGCTCCAGCGTGTTTCGGACAAACGGCGATTTCTTTGGGAGGGTGGAACTGTCGCTGTCGCTGCGGTACAACTGTAGGCAATAACAACACATGGCATTTTTTTTTTTTAAACGCCTAAAGGTGAGCTGAATGACTTTTGCATCAAATGCTCGTATGCATGTTTTGTTGATGCAACATGGAGTTCATTTTGGTGTATATGGAAGATGCATGATTTTTGACGTTTCATGAGCCTCTCGTTCTCTCTTTTTTTTTAAGAGCTTTCCCGCCATTTTATGTGGGGGTGGGGGGTGGGGGGGGGCACTCACCCTGCAGACGTACTGACTGCGAGCTCCGGGAGAGAATGTCTGCGAGCGTACGATGGTGCTACCACGCATGAAGGGCGCCGCGTGTCCCCAGCGTGCCCCGCCCCTCTCTTTCCCCCGCACTCGCACCGCCTCTGCAAAGTGTCCCTCTGTCATGGTCGCCTTCTCCACCTGCCGGGACGCCACAAACGCGTCGTGCCGCGGATATTTGTTGTTTAAAAAAAAAATAATAAAAATTCTGCCGCAGCCTTACCTTCAGTGTGGCCGCCTTTGCCAGCGCCCGTTCGCACGGCGTGCTGTTGCTGCAGCCGCTGTCCACCGACTCGGCTTGCAGCCTCGGCAGCGGGTCCGGGTCGGCGTCAGTCCGGGACAACGGGCCGCACGAGCTCTCCTGGGATGGTGAGAGACACGGTTGAAATCCTCATGAGACTTGAGCTCCGTGAGCGTCAAAAGCGAGGCTTACGAAACATCATGGACTTAAAAAGCCTTACTATACACCACGTCTTCTTGACCATATGTGTCTTTTCCTTTTAAATGCCTTACTGTATGTAGTCTGTTTGAATTAATGCCTTACTATACATCATGTCCTAAAAAAGCCTTAATATGCATCATGTCTTCTTTAATAAAAGCCTTACTGTACATCATGCCTTTTTTAATAAATACTTTACTGTACGTCAAGATTTTTTTTTTTTTAAGCCTTACTATATATCATGTTTCTTTAATAAATGCCTTACTATATATCATGCCTTTTGTTACTAAATACCTTACTATACACCATACCCGATGGCAAGTTTATGGCTATTATGAAGTCGTGCATACCAGGGCTCTCGGTCTGTGCTCGTCCTCGGGCCCATCGTGATGTCGCCGCTGGCCTTCAGCTCTCAGCTCGGGTCTGGGAGGCTCCGCCCCGCCGAGCATTTGGACCTTCAGCCAGTGGTAGATCATGTCGGCACTCTCTTCGCACTCGGCCAGGCCCACCCGTGCTATGCCCTGCGCGCGAATACACACACATACACGATTTACATTGTAAAATGATCTGAGAACCATCTTTTTTAATAATCATCTCCCTCTCAGACTTACCAGGAGCTCCTCCTGAGCCTGCGGCCCAAGCAGGCAGAGGGACAGTTGCAGGGCGCACCCGGCCAGGGCGTTGGCAGGCACGGGAACGCGGAAGCCTTCGTTGAAGCTCAAGTGGGTCTGCGGCTCCAGAGCCGTGCAGCAGTAGAAGGCGCAGGCCCGGCCCGCGTCCGGCGCAATCAGGTGCACCTTCACAAAGCTGCCAACACACACCAAGGTTTGGCGAGTTTGCAGAAACTAACAAAATATGATTAGAACTTAACTCGGAAGCAAAATATTTTAATTGATGTCATAAAATGAAGGCAAAAATGCTTTAGAAAATATTTATAAAACAAATTAGAAGTTTCCTTGGTTTCCGCCTATGTCAATTAATATCATAAGTGAGCTTTCGGGGGTTCATTTGGGTTTTGGAGTACAGCCGTCAGTTTGAGAGCTGCAGTTTATTTCAGGACACAATACTTAGTGACCTTTTTGGGAACCTTGCACTCGACAAACACTCCATTTATTCAAAAGTAGAACCAAGACTAATACTAAAATTCATAAAACTAAAGTAAAATGAAGCAATTAAAAAATAAAAGCTAATAAAAACAAAGGAACTTGCTCTAAAAACTAAACAAAGCTAACTGAATTGAAAAAAAAAAACAACAAAAAGTCAAAATGACCCCCCGCACCCCTAAAAATATATGTATTATAATCATGCAACACACACATACTTCTCTCAAATGAGGAAAAAAAACGGACTTTTCAAAAGACAAAGCAACAGGACTCACATTTTGTATCCGTCCCTCAGGACAGACCTGCTCAGATTCTTGAGCTGGAGCAGATGAAGACGCAAAGACTGGGAGGTGGACTCCCACCTGGATCGTAGGCAAGGAGGAGAATGGGAAGGCGAGAGATGAAAAATGACAATCAAAATGGGTCTGATTGGACTACAGCGTAAGAAACGGTGACGCGTGAGCTCAGGCCGTGGCGATGAGAGTGTCGGGCTGACACCATCTAGTGGCATGCTGGTGTCACAGAAATGTATTAAAGTGACTTCCTTTAGACATGAGTGATGCTTGACAAGTACAATACAGTTATGAACAAATTTGGGGTGGGTGACAGTTACTCGCGGCGTTTCGTCATGCGCGCCTTGGCCACATGGCGGCAGTGTAATGCAGACATATGTGAAGGTAAGGTCACAACTTTTCAGGAAGCTATTTGGCCTTAGTTATATTCATTCTTTACAGAGGGGTAAACATGCTTACGAGTATTGTATTGTTTGTCTACATGTTTTGCTCCACCACTTGTGTCAAATACACCGAAACCACGATGACAATGCCATTCGTTAGCACGTCAATGGCGTTTTGTGTCATTTGTTCGCATTACACTAAACAATGTGATTTTTGCCACCATATACTGTAGCGCTTGTACTGGCAGAACGACGACGTACCTTGAAAAACGTGCAAATTGGGTCACTCAAAATTGGGTCATATGAAAAAAGAATGGAAAGAACGCAAAACAGTTTAAAGAGTAATCACTGTTAAGTACGGTCAAAATGGTGTGCTTTTAAGGGGTGTGGCCTAGTGAATGACATCAGGAGCTTGAGTTAGTCTGCGTGTGAGCGTCCGGGTGTGAGTTGTGGCCTACAGCAGCTCCTTGCGAGTGTTCTCATTTTATGTTTAAGAGCTTGACCTGTTTAAAAAAAATAAAAATGTCTGAAATTTCATCAGTGACCTCTGTCCGCTCTCCGCGCCCACATCTGAGGGCATTTCACTATCGTGAACCATTTTTTTCCACCCCAGAAGGAAACTCACAGGAGTCCCAGCTGAATCTGCGTTGGCTCGCTGGCCGACGTCTGCTCCTTCAGGTAGGACATCTCCTCAGGCTCCTCCGCCCTGGTGGAAAGCACACGAGAGCTACAAATGTTGTACTGGAGTAGATTCTTTTTTTTTTTTGGTTTGGTATCTGTACTTTGAGTATTTTAGTAATCAGAATATTGTGTTTAGACTAGTATAGAACAAAGATTTTTTTTTTTCTCCTGAGTTCCCCCCCTTCACTCACCTCCTGCCCCAGGCCTCGAAGACGCCGCTATCTGTGGCCAGAGCGTCTTCGGAGATGCCAGCCGAGACCCTCCTGGTCCTCCTGCTGCTTCTGCTGCCGCTGTTGCCGCGCAGAGTCACCCCTTCGCATGACAGTTGATGTGTGTGTGTGTGTGTGTGAATGCACAGACCCTTGTTGACCTGTCTACGCGAGTGGACAAATGTTGACATAACGCTTGGACACAACATATGTTAACATGTACATGTGACTGGAAAGTGGAATGTTTCTTTTTTCCTTGTGGGTGTGATTGCAGAGACTCACGTTTTGCACTTTGGGAATGGAGGGACGGAGGGCTTTGAAATTGGGTGTGAATGGACTGATGAGTAAGATTATTTGTATTCAGTAAGTGAATGGGCAGGCTGATGTTTTTCATGTGGTGTGGGCGAATGTGCAAATGGTAATAATAACAATTCAATTCAATCAATGCGCAAGCACTGATACCAGGTACCGGTATCGGGTCAGTACCAGCCTTATTTCTAGGACAGGTCATATGACCCAATATCAACTAATAAGTAGTATAGTAAACCCCGCCCTCAATCACAGGTTCCAGGTCTCACTATTTGGCAGATTTTTTTTTTTGTTGTTGTAATTATCATATTTTCATCTATCGCTCGTCAATGTTGGATGTATTCCCACTGTTCACCACTAGATAGCAGCACAGTTATTCAGAGATGGTGTAAATTTGAAAGGACAAGAAAAAAAATAAATTCACCACAGCCTAATTTGGGTTGAAAATGATTGAACGTCATCCTCTGTGATCCTGCTTTTTACGCCGACAGAAAGCGATAGTTGGAGGTTAATGTTACATCGGATGATTCTACACCGAGGCATTGGTACGCTGTTCGTAGAATATTTTTTTGCGTTATCCATTGCTCTTGTGCTCTCTGAAAATGTGTTTTTATTATTTTAAAAGTGTGTTTAAAGACCTAAAAAAACACATGTGCTGTAAATTCCGTAAAAACCTCACCTTGAGGGCATATAAATTGGACATTCTACATCAGGGATTGCACTTACGACGGTGGTCTGAAAAGTAACCCTCGCAATGGAGGGTGAATTCTTGGATGGATGGTTGATTTAATTGTCTTACCAGATGAGTTGAAAGCCCCCTGAGAGCCTCCATCTCTGTGGTTCTTTGCGTCGGCAGCGTGCGCGGCGACCAGGGCGACCGCCTCCTGCTGCGACTGGGCGCGCAGACCCTCCAGCAGCCCGCGCCCCGCCTGCTCCATGTACTCCTCGGTCATCTGCGAAAGGGGGCTGTCCTGAGACGTCGAGTGGTAGGGCGTCTCCATGGGCGAACTCGGCGGCGACAGCGAGGAGAGCGATGAGCGCGACGACAGCGAGGCCAGCGACTGCGGCGTGTCGTGAGCGCGCTTGGCCTTGCTGGGAGCGGACGGCTCGGGCGTGTAGGCGTCCCTGGAGGTGGCCTCCGAGGGCAGCACGAAGCGCAGGTGGGGGTCCGTCGGCTCGTCGTGGCGCTCGTACTGCGGCACGCCGTAGATGTCGCTGAAGCTGATGGAGCTGAGGGAACCGCGGCTGGATGCCAGCGAGCCGCGGCTGGATGCCAGGGAGCCGCGGCTGCTGCTGGACGACACCGTCAGGGAGCTGGCGGACAGGCTGGACGCAGAAACAGGAAGTTGAAGACGGGATGAAGTCAAGTCGGGACGCCATAGCGTCGATACCATCGGGCACACGACATCACGGATTCGATTTATGATACAATGACGGCACGAGTGCATCTGGGTGGCAAATGAGACAAAAACGTAACTGGTTCGAATGCGGTCTTTTTCTCTATCACCATCGTTTGAATGTCAATTAAATTGTTGCTTGAAAGCAGTGTTGTTTTGGACAGCCGATCGAGTCTTTTGAAAATACCTTTTAGTCCGAGTCATATTTTACTCATCTTTTATGGCTTTCTCAAACAACATGACTTGTTGGTTGTTCACGAAGGTCATGTTTGTCGGACTACCGGTAAAATATCGTTTTGCATCTTGGACCGGGCGAGAAGTCGCACTACAAGTCCATCAAGCGGCCACGCCCCGCCCAATCGTCGCATGCTTCAGTCAAGATTCAGTCCATGGGCGCAGGTCCATCGGGTCGGAGGGACGCGGCAGCTGTCAAAGTCATGCCGACATCACGGGCGTATGTGCGTTTGTCTTCTGCCACCCGCATGCGCAAGTTACGTCATGCTCTATGGAAAGCATTTATTTAATATCCTTGATATCTGGCTCAGGGTCTGGTACTAGCATACTCTCTATTATCACTTGCCGTACGAGTAGAATGACTAGTCAATATGTTTCCACAACTAGCGCCACTTCTGCGCTCCAAGCAATACGAGGGATGTGGAATAAATGCGGGAAAGCTCTTTGCATGACGACGCACCTCTTGAGCTGAGAGTGAAGGTAGGTGGTGATGCGCGTGGCCTCCTCCAGCTGTCGCAGCAACACGTTCCTCTTCTCCTGCTGCAGGAGCCTGGACGCAAACGTCGAGCAATGACACGTCAGTAAACATGCCCGCGTGGTAGTCGAAGTCGGCGTCACACTCGTAGTCATTGTCGGAGTAATAGTAAGCGGTGAGACTTCATCACAAGACCCGTCTGCTCTTCTACCAAACTCATCCAAGAAGTAGGAGAAGTAAGAGTCACAGTAGTGACAGTAAAAGAAGTTTGAGGTAGAAGGAGTGATATGTTTTTCTTTTGTTGTTGTGAGGAGTGTGGGGGTTGGACGGGGTTGGCCGACCTCTGATTGGCTCCCTGACTCTGTGAGCTGTGCGCCCGCTGCACTTCCTCCTCCAATCGGCAGCGTTCCTCCTCCAGATGACGCAGCGTGTCAGGACCGGGATTGGGGTTAGGATCAGGACCGGGACTCTGATCAGGATCGGGATCGGGACCCGGATCGGGGCCGTGAGCCTTCTTGTGCTGCTTGCTGATCATGATGATGTCGTGCAGCAGAGCTTCCTTCTCGCGCAACAGCTGCATGAAATCTCGGTCCCGGTCGGCCTCGGCTCGGCCCGACCAGCTCTCGCTGTCCAGCTGGGCCAGCTGGTGCTGGATACTCTGCACCCTGGTTGACACGCAGGGTTGCCACAGTCATGAAATAGGGAACAAACTTTTTAACAATCATAAATACGTACGTATAATATGTGTTTAAATATAAATATAAAGCCCTGCAAAAAAATGTGAAAGAAAAAAAAAATGTATAAATGCTCGAAATGATACATCTGTATCTTTGGAATTTGGGAATTATGATGTTGATGATAAAACTCTAAAAAAAATACAAAACCATGAATAAAAACTACAAACATCATATTAAATCTCAAACTGGAATAAATAAAGTAAATTGAAAAAAAATTACATCATATTGTCAACAAAATCGATTTTAAAAATAGAATATGAATATAATAATAAAATATGGAATAAATTAATTATCAAAATACTTTTTTTGACATTTAAATGTTAGCATTCTCTCTCTCTATATATACACACACACACACACACACACACACACACACACACACACACACACACACACACACACACCAATTTTTTT